TTTTGTTTTTGCACCTTATTTATCCTCCATCTCTGTATGTCTCCTCATCGCACCATGAGTGCTTCATTGAAAAACACAGAATCCGAATCGAATTAAAAACAAAATACTGTTTGAGTTGAAAATCTGCCGTAAGAAAATGGAAAATGTTGGAGACGCTTAACAGGTCAGAGAAAGGAGTTAATGTTTTGAGTTGAATCACAGTCTAAGCATACAGGGTAGGCCATTTAGGTCTGAGATGAGGAGAAATGTCTTCACCCAGAGAGTGAGCCCATGGGATTGTCTGTCACAGAATAAAACCTGAAAGAACTGCGGATGCTGTAAATCAGAAACAAAAAAACAGAACTTGCTGGAAAAGCTCAGCAGGTTTGACAGCAGTTCCGAGGAAGGGTCACTGGACCAGAAACATTAATTCTGCTTTCTCTCCCCAGATGCTGCCAGACCTGCTGAACTTGTCCAGCAATTTCTGTTTTTGTCTCTGCCACAGAGAGTAGTTGAAGTCAAAACACTTAATGTTTTCAAGAAAGAGTTAGATATAGTTATCAGGGTAAAGAGACCAAAAGGTTTGTGGAGAAAGTGGGAACAGAGTACTGAGTTGGATGATCACTGTATCATGTTGACTGGCAGAAGAAGTTTGAGGCCTGAATAGCCTGCCCCGTTCCCATTTTCTATGACTTCTTCAGAACAGGAATTCAAGCTCAATATACCCTCAACCAAACTGAGAGCACTGGCTATTAAAATTATTTAACTTTTATTTTAACCTGAAAATATTTATTATACTTAGAACGGCATGGTGGCTCAGTGGTTAGCACTGCTGCCTCACAGCGCCAGGGACCCGGGTTCAATTCCACCCTCGGGCGACTGTCTGTGTGGAATTTGCACATTCTCCCCGTGTCTGCGTGGGTTTCCCCTGGGCGCTCCGGTTTCCTCCCACAGTCCAAAGATGTGTAGGCCATGCTAAATTGCCTGTAGTGTTCAGGGATGTGTAGATTAGGTGGGTTATAGGGGGATGGGTCTGGATGAGATGCTCTGAGGGTCAGTGTGGACTTGTTGGGCTGAAGGGCCTGTTTCCACACTGTAGGGATTCTATAATCTATGATGATCACATGGTCGCCTTGGTATATTATGAATGAGACCCAGTCTCTGGGTCACACAAGGTAAAGGATGTCATCCCATTGCCTTGTTTGTACTAAACAGAACTCACAGCAGTAGCACACAGATCAACATGATTCCACCTTCCGGAGTAGAGAGCAGCCCAGTGTTCTATGGAGCTGTTAACCATCCTCAATACATCTGCATCAGAGAGAGTGTGTCTAACTCACTTTGAACAATAGCTGCATAAAGAAAACAGCCTGGTTCAAAATATCCAGTAAATAAAATACATGTTGATCACTTGATGATAGAGGTTTAGGTTGAAATGACCCACATACATGAAGCACCACACAATTGATTCCTTGGTTACAAGCTCAGGGCAGACAGGACATGTGACATATTATTCACTGAGCCACTGAGCACATATAATGTACAGTTCTGTTAAGTTGTGAAACTCTGCTTGTTATGGATCTAGCGCAGAGCTGCTAGGTTACAAATTGGCTGCTCCCAATTATAGTGCCTCTACAGATAGCATCATTTTGAGTTTTAGTGCCTCTTGAGATATCTAATAATAGCACCCACTCAGATAGCGTCAGATCCAATTAGAAGTCCCCCTCACATAGCACCACTCCCAGACATACGTCTACTTCAGAGCGAATATTCCCAATGAGAGTGCCACTTTAGACAGCATCACTTCATGCTCTAGTTGTCTTTGAAACAGAGGCATGCCCAATTATCCAGCCCTTCAGGCAGTACCATTACCAATTAGCATTAAGTCCAGATAGAAATCATCCTTTTTCATTCTTTCACTGATGTGGTGTCATTCGCAAAGACAAGCTCTTGATTGAATGGTTTGAAGGAAGTGCTGGTGTTGGAGGGGGTCCACAGGAGGTTCACAAGAATGATCCCAGGGATGAAGGGCTTCTTGCATGAGGAGTGGTTGAGGACTCTGGGTCTGTCTTTGATGGAGTTGAGAAGGATGAAGGGAGTTTTGATTGAAATTTACAGAATACTGAGAGGCCTGGAATAGAGTGGACTTAGTGAAGGTGTTTCCACTAGTAGGAGAGACTAGAACTTGAGGGTACAGCCTCAGAAATGAAGGGTCAGGCTCTTTAGAACTGAGATGAGGAGGAATTTCTTCAGCCAGAGGGTGGTGAATCTGTGGAACTCATTGCTGTAGAGGGCTGTGGAGGACAAGTCATTGAGTGACTTTAAGGCAGAGATAGGTAGGTTCTTGATTAGTAAGCGGATCAAAGGTTACGGGAGAAGGCAGGAGAATGGGACTGAGAAACATTATTGAATGGTCGAGCAACTCAATGGGCTGAGTGGCCTAATTCTGCTCCTATATGTTATGGTCTTGTTGTCTAATTCAGGAAGCACTCGAGAGTTTACCACATTACTGAGGGTCTGGAGTTACTAATAGACTAGACTGGTAAGGACAGCAGATTTCCTTCCCTAAAGGGCATTAGTGAACCAAACTATTTTTTTAAACAGTAGTTTCATGGTCACAATTACTGAGATTGGCTTCCAGACTAAGTTCACTTCATTAAATTCCTTAGCTGATGTGGTGGCATTTCAACTCACATCTCCCAGATTCATTGTTCAATCTCTGAACTGCTAGCCCAGTGATATGTCCATTATGCTACCATACCCTTAACTACCCATCCCAGCTTAGATACTCCTTTGTATAGCATCACCGGTTTATTGCTCAAGACAGGAGGCACACCATGAGGATATATCCTTGATTTTGTTCTCTGCGGCAAGGCGCTAGATTCACAGAATTACAGAATTGTTACAGCACAGAGGAGGCCATTCAGCCCACTGTACCTGTACTGGGTCTCCAAATGACGATCTTGCCTTGTGCCACTCTGCCTTCTTCCCGTAACTCTGCTGATTCTTCCTTTTCAAGAAAACATCTAATTCCTGACAGAAAGTCTTAACTTAACCTGTACCACCACACTCTCAGGCAGTACATTCCAGACCGTAACCACTCGCTGCATGAACAAAGATTTTCCTTATGTCACTTTTATCTGTTTGTTAAATATCTGTGCTTCACGATCATTTCACAAGTGGGTATATTCTCCCCCTTTTTCACTCTGCCCGGACAGTTCATGATTTTGAACACATCTTATTAGCATTCTCCTCTCCAAGGAAGACAGTCCCAGTTTTTTTCAAGTTTTTTCCACAACTGGAATTCCTCATGTCTGGAATGATTCTATAAATCTCTTCTGCATTCTATCCAATGCTTTCACATCTTTCCTAAAGTGTAGTGCACAGAGCAGGAGCAATATTCCAGCTGAGGCCAAACTAGTGTTCTTAAATCACTTCAAAACAACCTCTTTACTTTTGTACTCCCCGTCTCCGTTATCAAAAGCTAGGTTATTAAAATGTTAGACAACAAGGTGCAGGGCTGGATGAACACAGCAGGCCAAGCAGCATCATAGGAGCAGAGAGGCTGACGTTTCGGGCCTAGACCCTTCATCAGAAAAGGGGGAGGGGAAGGGGGTT